TCATCAAAAATATTGTAACGTCTAGTTTTCTTGTAAACTTGACAAATGCAACATGTTATCTACAATATTTCTAACAGGAAATTTCATTTCATTCGTTTAAAAATAACTAAGTTTTATCAAACGATAATTCCAACACTCTCGAATTGTAATTAGTAAATCGAATCATTCATTCATTAATCGATTTTCTATTGTTCATCACCATGTTGTATTATTATAGGGTCAATTATTAGTTGTTTACATTTTTATTAAGGCCCATTGAATCTGATTATAATATAATTCATAGCAAGTAATTTGCTTAAGACTGTACCAACTAATATTACTATTACAGCGTCGCGCGCAGCGCCGAGTTCGCCTTCTCGACACCACGACTTATTCACTAGAAAGTTAGTAAAAGGTCGTCATAATTACAAACGTCAGTCAAATGAGTCTTAGTGCGAAAACAGTCTAAATATTTGTATCATTATATCTAAACGTGAAGTTCCGCGTTCCTTTAGGTTCAATAGAACATGGACGTGAAATCTATTAATTGCCAAAAGAATTGTCAAAAAGGATTCAGCCAGAGTTGGTGACATAATCGTGTAACAAATCTAAAACAAATTTAAAAACTTTTTAGAAGTATTTTAACAACATTTTTTTCTTAATGCAACTTAGAATGGCAAACAAGCTTACGGCCCACCTGATGGAAAGTGGTAACTGTTGCCTATACGTTGAATACATTTAAGATTAAGCAACTGGACAAATTTGGATGCAATGGATTCTCAACTGAAATTAGCATAATTATATAATTACGCCATGATATCTGGCAACGTAGCAGTCACACGAAATCGCCAGTAAACTCTGGTTAACTGCATTTTTCTTGCGTTTTTGCTTCGAAATAACGCGTTCAAATGATGCAAGACAACTTACAAAGTAACGTCAGCAAGTTAATTATTGTAAATTGTAACTTTCTTAATAATTATATTACTTACTTTATAACTTGTTTGTTTATTTGTTATTTTTTAATGTCTTAATATGTGTACAGTATGTTTGTTTGTTTTTTTCCATATTATCCAAGATTTTAGCTTTTACAAACGGTCGTCTGCTTGGCGTTAACCCTCCTTGGGATATTTATTTTTTAATTAAATATTTATCAGACTACTTTACAAAAAATGTTTGGTACAAAAGTAAACTTAATGCTATATAGCATTTTCTCCCAGTTAATCTTTAGAAAAACAGAAATGTAATTAAGTGGTGAACAATAGAAAATGGTTGCAGATAAATAGTTACAGAAAATACAATTTTAACAGTACAATTTTTTTATAAATAACTATTAATAATTTCTTTATATAATTAAACAAAAAGTGTACATAATAGTTATGTACGTTTAGCGAGAAATTGTCAATGCGTATGAAATAGTATAATTTTTTGAAAGGACTCTTAAGCTATGTTTATTTTCTGACCATACTCTATATTTAATTAAGTTGTTAGCAGTCGATAGGCAATGTTGATCGTGCCTTTTACGCACCAAGAATGCAATACTGATCGAAGTATAAATGGGACAAAAAATAAAAAAATGAAATAAATATGCTCACGACTATAATCCCTAACGGGGTAGTGAGAGGCATTTATCAACTGTAGACGTTATGGTGAACACTCATACTCATATTTCGCTGAGAATATTAGAATCTACTCTCTCTAATCTAGGGGGTGAGTTTATTGCAGTGTTTGTCATCATCAGAAAGTTTGAAATATATTTAGATATAAATTTTAGGCGTCCACGAGATTAGAAATCAGACCTAATAAGTTGGTGATCTAATAAGTTGGGATTTTTTTTTTATAGGTGATAATGAAATAGTGACCCAACCCGCGCTATCGGTTTACGCTGATAGGGCACCAGTGAAAGATGATAGATGAGGATGAAACAGGTCAGTTAGCCCATCGTGATCAATTCAACGAGAATTGTTCACGATGGTTTCAAGGGGGAACCACGCGGAGGTTGATCTGATAGGGCATATTGCTAGCAATGAGGCTGTCAAACTCCATTGCTAACAATCCCTTTTCCCCTAATAAATTGGGTTGGTACTCGTATAAAAACGATTTTAACGTCATTTTAACGAATTTAAAGCAAACGTAAACAAATGAGTAAATGGCTTGATCAGACAGTGTGACGTTCAACAGTAATGTAAATTAAAAATCGATTAACTAGCTGTATGCTTCTGTTTGTTATTAATGTCATTTAGATATAAACAAATTTTTGTTTACTTTTATGCACTTTATTTTTTCTTGTATTTAATTTATAAGAGGTAATGATTCTAAAACCCAATAAATGTTTAATAGATTGATAAATAAGAAGTTTCGAAACTAATCAGTACCTGTAAACTTAACTAAATAATAACTTTTGTTTTCCTTAAAAAAAAAAAACAAGATATACCTACAATATAATAATATTAAATAAAATTATATTAAAAAAGAAAGAATTACTATATTACATATTTTTTTAAATATTTTTTCTGCCTATCCTCGAAAAGACTTAGCGTGAAGATAAATATATGAATTTATAAATGTGAAAGTTACATAAACGAAGCTCTTCCAGTTAATGCCGTCATGTAAGCTAAGTATACATACATATAAACATAGTACACTCTCACATATAAGTTTTAGCGACATTTATACAATTAAGACGAATCCCACAGTTAAGATTATTTTAACGGCAAACCATCTATTAAGATATATCAAGTAGTTTTTTTTCTTAATGAATGATAATGGAATGGTAACACCGCATGCGCTGTCGGTATAACCTGGCGGGACGCCAGTGAGAAATCATAGGATAACTGTCCATTGCTGAACATAGACTTCCCCCTGGGGGGTTTTGCCATTAGTTGCCACGCTTAGCAGACGGGTTGGGAATCGTAGTTAGGCTTCGATGATGTTTAAGAGGGACGATGCTGCCCAACCCTCAACCATTAGGCTCCCTTAGTTGTTTTTATGACATCCATGGTACAAGAAAGAGTAGCCTATTCTATGCCTGGGCCACACGGTATGGAATTTACTATATTATTATATACAATTGTGAATATAATTCTCCTCTTATTTCATTGTAATAAGCAAATTAAGTAAAAGACTTTAACACATAAAATCTCAGGGGTAAATGCTATTTTTGTGAATACGTATGCATTGCATGCGTCTCATCAAAGGAAGAGGTAGGGTTAGGAATAAAAAAAAATCACGTCTCTACTGGACGCCCCCTAACATTACCAGTGGGAGACGAAAGAAGGGAAGAGGGGAATTGTTATTTATGGAAACACTAGTCCTATTTCCTAACACTGTTCCACGTTAGATCAATTTTCGCGCAGTTCTCCTTGAAACCGTTTTGTTAATTTTTGTATAATTCATCACGAAAAGTGGCAAACAAGCATGCAGCCCGTCTGATCGTAAATAGTTACTGTAGCCTATGGACCAGGGATATCATGTATATGTGTCCCACTCTAAAGAAACCTTAATGCACTCTTTGTGAAAAAATCCGTAGTGTAGTCTTTAAAAAAATCTCAGCAGCGAGCTCATTCAATAGCCTAAGAGTTTGCGGGGAAAAAATCCTCTGAGACTGCACTGTACGGGATCATTTTGGTTCTAGCGTTTAAGTATGAACTTATAAGCGATGCGATGATAAAAGGTAGCCGTGGGCATCATTTCGAATAATTCCTCAAAACAGAATCTGTTGTATAAGCAGTAGAACATACAAAAGGAAGCAAAATCTCGCCTTAGATTTAAGGGCTCGATACCGCCTGTGAGCTTGGGATCGTCAATAATTCTTATAGTCTGTCTTTGAACCGAGTCCAGAGAAAGAGACCAAGGAGAAGAGGACCAAGCTGGTATCTACGTGCTACGACACATACTCTATGAGAGCCCGGACTTGTATAATAATACTCCCTGTTTCGGAATGAAGTACCGTATTGCTCTATTGAACACTTCGAGCTTTTTGGACGCCAGCTTGACCCCATCTTCTAGATAACCCCGCAACTCTACAGTGCTGGAGATGTCAACATCGAGAATTCCAATACGTTTGGAAATAGTAATGGATGTGTTCTCGAATAGAGCTACACTAAATGGTTTTATTTTACAGATTAAATTGAACTAAGTTTAGTCGTCCCCAAGTGGAGACCCTATTTTGTCGTCATTCATTTGTACCCCGCTATTTGATATCATTAACATAGACGGACGCACTATTCCACCTTCATCCATTCACAAAAACTCTCCGGTGTCTTGGGACACCACACACGTGCCAATTTTTTACACACGATTTGTCTATATTTTAATTGAGTTTCGAATGTTGTTTTTTTTTTGTAACACTGTCAAGGAACTTGAAATATAAATATGCAAATTTGAAGATTACCTATGCATAGTTAACTAAGTTGATCTCGACTTTCGACCTATCTGTTTGAACATTTGAAATTCAAATAGACAGAGTGAAGATTATGTAGTTTTACTGCCGAATCATTTGGCTTTGTTTTTTTAAAACGAAAGGATTCTCTTAGTCCTTTTTTGTTTTAAACAAAAAAGATATTTATGGAAATGTAGTAAGTTAGTAGACATGTCCATTTGCTTAAAAAATCGTTCGTTCATATTCGATTTATAATCGAGTTAGGAAACGAATATTTAAATGTTCTGTATTAGGTTTAGGTATGTACTATGTATCGAATTAAATAAATGAACGTCAAAAGAAACTATATTTGTTGTTTGGTTTTTTCCAACATTGAATATTCTGTACTGAAGAGCAGACAGTTTATTTGATTATGTAGTATGCGTAGGAACAAATAACCTTTGTGACATTTTGTTTTTTTCAAATCAAATAGGAAAATAAGTAGGTAATAAAAAAAATGTTTACCTAACTGCATTGCAAATTACATTATATAAAGAAGCTAATTTCAATGCAATAAATACCATAATAAGTCTTTATACTTTATCTGACGCTACATAAATAAAATAGTAAATGGATAAAAAATAAACAGTAGATAAAAACTTACCTAGCATTTTACTTAAATCGGCATTATGAAGATCCGGATTCTCGTCTGCTAACTTCTTCCTCTCCACTTTCGCCCAAACCATGAAAGCGTTCATCGGCCTCCTGATCCTTGCTTCCTTCAACGCCTTAGCTTGTCCCATTTTCGTGGTAAAAGGCGCACGAGCGTACTGTTGTGTAGAATAATCCCTTGATGCCTCGTAGGGATTTCTATAATCGTACTGAGCTCTATAGTCCAAACCATATGGTAAAGTCGACCACACTACTAACTCAGGTGTGGTTTGGTCTTGCCCTGAATCTGTACTATTCTCTACTCCGCCTTGGACGTATTGTTCGTAAGTGCGATGGTATGTGGGTGGAGATTCAGCTATTCCAGCTCCCCCGGAGTCCATCATACTGTTAACAAAGAAAAAACAAATGAATACTATTAGACATAGTTATTAGACATATTATGCATAGCGCCATCTAGTAAAGTAAACAGTTAGTTCTAAAGGTTGATAGATAACTAACTAGAAAAAAAAAATTACAAACTTGGAAAAGCATTCGACATGTAATAACTTTATAAAAAAAATCAATTACCGAATGTATGGAAGTGTATCACTTCAGAACGGTTGCACTATTTGGCTAATTATTTTTTATCGTAAGGATACGGATTTCATAGTTGTGTTTCTGAAATTCTAACTTAAAATCTGGGATACGTTTTATTTTAATACGCCATTTAGAATCCTATTTAGTTAGTACTTCTTTTTACAAAACAAAACAGCATTACTTATCGGTGCGACTTTTTGTTAATACCTACTTCCAAAGTTTAAAAAAAAATACTATAATTACCTACCAATGTCTAAAACGAAGCATTTAACAAAAATATTGGAAAAAAATGTTGCAAATTCCTGCTATTGTAGGTATGCCACTAGTGTTGTCATTTCGCAGTAACACTCGGGTATAAGAATTTGTAAAATCCAGTGACTTGGTGTCAGTTTCCGCAGTTCACAGCATCGAGTTAGCGTGAACGATAGCAGGAAACGTGGTAAGACGACACTGAAGACGTCGACTGTTATCGCGTATAGTTAATTAATCGACCAATGAAATAGGACCAGCTTGGACTAGACTGTTGCCATGAGTGGCTAGGATTTGATCAAGGGCTTAATCAAGTGTTTGTTATGGTAAAATTATAAGGCCAGCGAGGATAATGAGGTGTTACAAACGTTTTATTTAAACGGTTAATAATATTTTGCACTAATATGTTATAGTCTGTTTTAATCGAATGAAAATGTAAACAAATTAATAATTATGACGAATAAATCAAATGATTCGGTTTGTTAGTAACTTTTGTTTATGAGAATTTAAGCCTTAATTACCTTTTTACCTATTAAAAAGGTTATAATATATGAGCGAATAGGTATAAGGTCTCTGAAATCAAAATATATTGAGTAATAATAACGTAACAATATTTAATAGGTACGTACGAGATCTCTGATTTTGATGGCCATAAATTTTGTATATATATTTAACATGCTCTATCTATTAGTAAATGTACCAGAGCATCTCTGTCACATTTAAAGCTTAATTTGCATCATTACACAAAGTATTTTTTATTATACTTAGAATGGCAAACAAGCTAACGACCCACCTAATGATGAGTGGTAACCGTCATCTATGTTTATGGACAGTATCATGGACATCACAGAAGAAACTGTGATATTTTTCATGAGTTTCTTTTTGAGGAATAATTCCTGAAGACTACATTTTTTTTTATGGATGAAAAATGATTTGTACTAACAGTATATGACTACTATATACTCACTACTTCCTATGCCACTATGTTAGGTTGACTGGAAGAGATCTCTTTTAGAGATAAGTTCACCTTTGCTAACATTGTTATTAACTTATTGTTGTTACTGTATGTTTTGGTGCAATAAATTTTTTTTGCGAGGTTGTGAGAGATAATGGACGAAGATAAAAGCAGAGCAGTTAACCCATCGTGACAAATTCAACAAAAATTAAATACGATGTTTTCCGATTACTTTACTCGTGTGGAGGTCGACCTCACAAAGTACATTGCCAGCAAAGGAGCTGATAGATCCATTAGTACTGATTTCTTTTGCCCCCGCATTAAGATGTAGGATTCATCTCTATACCTTTTAATTTTACTGCTATATCTCACGAACAAACTAAAACATAGCCATGCAACTACAGCGGCTGGATGGAGAAGAATTGTTAGTAATGGGAACGTCACTCCCACTGCTAGCAATATTATTAGCATTATTATTAATTTATATGTTAGGTCAACCTCCACGTGGTTCCTTTTGGAAACCATCGTGATTAATTATTGTCAAAGATTTCATTCACACCATTTCATTATCATTCATTAAAAAAAACTACAGGCTTCATGGAAGAAAAATGAGTCAGACAGAGGCATCTAAGCAGACACATTTTGTACAAAGACTCCCTGTGACGTGTGAACTGGCAGTATTCACAAAATACAACCAGTTCCAAATAAAAATATTCAAATTTCTTTCCGTCCAGGAAGACACGAGTACATACACGATTGTTGCGAGCATGTAACGCGAAACAAATGAGTAATTCCAAAATTATAGGAAAGTACGACGGCGCCGGGAACCACGCGACACCGCGATTTCTCAGAACGGCGGCGTTCGCGCCGTGTGGGAACCGTATGCCATTGTTCTTGTGATTTCACTTGATTCTTTCATCTCTGACATGTCAACTATCTACTTGTTGAATGTGCCATAGGTTCACGATAACTGTCTTTGTAGACAACCACCGTAGCGTGCTACGGTGCTAGATGTTATTCTAGAAACACACCATTGCACTGTGTAAACCTTACTGGATGATAATTTTTACTTAATTCATGGGTCAACTATTAGCTGTTATTGTTGTCTGTTTATGTAAATCAGTATATAAGTATCCTATGTTACATTTTAAGTAAGGTATGTTGTGTTATATTTTAAGCATGTACCTACCGGCATAACAAATTTCATTCAAATACGTTCAGCTGTTTAAGCGTGATTGAAAGCAAAATCCAAACATCTTTACAAACGTTTAGATTATATTATTTATTATTTATAAAGTGTGGTATAAAAAGGAAAGTTAAGACTAATGAATTATTTTACTAGCCAATTTTTGAGAACTGCAATATTGTATAAACTGGCCATCTGATTAGACACGTAAGTCGCAATTAGTTTGCAGTAGCCAAACATCGCCCATTACGGAAGGGGTTAAGGGGAGGGGGGGAAGGAAGAAATATCGTTAGTAACGGGGACTTTAATCTCCATTGCTAGCAATATAGCCTGTCAGATCCACCTCCACGCGGTTTCTCCGGTTTCTCCTGGAAACCACCGTGATTAATAACCGAGATTGTTTCTTTCTTTTGAATTAATTTGGATCATTAACAGTGTTCATCGTCTATTTATATCTAATTGTCATCATTACAAATAGCCACACACACAATAATAGTCCACTACTGGACATAAGCCTCTCTCAAGTCACGTCATTGAGCATGATCTTCGGCTTTTCGTTTCTAGTTATAAGCAATCTTACGTGTTGTCGCTCCACGTAGCCGCAGATCATCTCACACTAAGCTTATTTACCACTACAGAACACGTCTACTTTAACAGATTTCAGTTCTATGGCAGACTGCCATATCAGTTTGAAAATTCGTTAAGTTATATTGCTAATTAACTAACAATTCCCTCTCATTCCCTACTGGAGAGAAATCTTTGGGATTCACATGATCTTTAAATGAACCAACTGACTTAAAATCATAAGTTTAACCTTAGCATCAAGTTCTTTCTCGTGCAGTTGTTAACGAAAACTTATCTATTGATATATTAATTTAATATTTATCCAAAGGGTTGCGAAGATATTAATGTCAGCCCAGTCTTTTGAATGTTCCAAACAATTATACGACTATTCGGGACGCATTGCTCCGACTGGACTTATAAATGACGCAATGTGTTTCTTAGCTGTGTCTTTATTGTGTAGTTTAAGTAATGCAGTACTAATTTATAATACTATTAATTGCCAGCTACCTACGATCTTTCAGACATAAAATAACAATTCTCAAGTAGAAACACGTAATGTTAGTAAATTATGTGATGCGTCGTTGTAAAATTGTAAACGGGAATGCTAATCAAACGTTGTTTATAACTATTGCACAAGTTTTAGCAAACATTAGTTATAAGTAATTAATTACACTTTACATTTGTCTTTGGTAGACAACTGTTCACACCATTCCTAATAAATGATACGCAAAGATGTTGAAATTAAAAAGTTATTTTAGACACGAACAAAACGATGAATATAAAAGATATATATATTTTTTTATTTATTAGACTTTGGTCAGAAACCATCAGCCATAAACTATAGATAAAGGGTTTGTTTATTTTTATTTAAAAAAAAAAATCTTACTTGCTCATATTTTTGTATTTTTTTCTTTAATAAAAAAGAATATTGTCATTTTAAATTCTGTTTGCGATTGTTATTATGTTGTTATTTAATCTACACGGAAATAATTCCTATGTGAAAGAATATTTATGTACATTCAATAACAAACATCCAAACATCTTTATAAAGTTTCATATTTAACATTAAATCGGTATATATGTATTAATTTTATTGGTAATATATGTTTATCCCTGTTTTGAATAGATAAAAATCCCGTGTCACAATAATTGTTCAAGATAATGTCGGAAACCCTTCAATTGATTTTAATAAGACAAATAAATCTGTATTTTTGTTCCTACTCAAGAGGTAGAATAGTTTATATCCTGATAAAAAAAGTTAAATCCAGTAAATGGTGGTAGACTGCAAAACTTTTTGCGAGGTCAAAGAATGCTATTATTTATCAAGTCTGTGCATCTGTTTTATCCATCAACGTCTTCTTATCCTTATTCTAATTTTTTATTTAGGGTCGGCGTAATATTTATTCTTTCATTCATCTCTATTCGCAATCATTTCTACATTCACTCCAATTCTGGTCATATCATAGTCCATCCATGTCTTTTTAGGTCTTACTCTGCCTTTATAGCCATCCACATTCATACTCAATACCTTTCCTTAACAAGTTCCATACAATAGGTGTGTATGAATACCTAAAAGTAATCAATACATTCCAGTTAAAACATTTCTTCACCTAAAAATCCAAGTTTTTTTTTCAACAAAATGTCATAATTTCGTCATCAACATATTTCAATATTACCTAAGATATCGACGTGTATACTATTCTATTGTTTTACGTTCATTATTGTGTAAATATAAATAAAAACTCAATACAATTCTTTAGTAAATTCCGCATATCGAATGCTCTAAACAAAACTGTAATAATGAGAGAAAATATTTAATGTTTTCACTATTGTCTGCCATTCGTAATGCTTAGG